CTTCATATTTCCTATCTTTATATCTAAAACAAAAACATTAATATGAATTTACGTGAAACAAGTACCAGTACAATACCTCCCAGCATTCCTACTGAAAACAAACTTTAGCAATAAGGCACCACTGACTAGAACTTCATTATTTAGCCTTCTATTTTAAGACATCACAACACAACCCTGAATGCCAATCCACTTCATGCTGTATGCTCATGTTTACATTGTTACCTTCTGCTAGCAGTCTATGCATCTTCAGCAATCCTTTTCACCATCTCTTTTGCTACACTTACCACTGACGCCACTTAACCTACATGCTCGTGTTTACTCTTCACTTCCTATAATACCTGTTGCACTTTTTTTGACGGGTGCATTTCATACGTTTTGTAGTTATTTCAATATATTCTCATATTCTCAACAGCATCTTTCAGCACCTGCACTCCTTTTCAGTCTTCCCACCATCTTAGTAACATCATCTTAATCTAAAATGTTACTATCTTCTTTCCTCATTATCTTTTTCTAAGAACATCTGTATTTTATGAGACTATCCCATTATTGCTATTACTGCTCTTAATGCCTTAGATTTCTGTACACAATTTCCTTTTTTATACCTACTTACTTTAGCCAGACCTGCCAATAGATTAAGTTCTTCCCTTTCTCATAAATTTAGCTACATGTACATAAATTCAGGATCAGAGCTGAGAGGTTTGAACCAGTAAGTTTTTTCATAATGACGTTATACTGTAGTGCAAAGATACATAACTGAACATTATTTATAGCATAGCCTGAAGTTGTAATGCTTCAAGAAGAGAGCTTGAAAAACACAATCATTTACTCATTTCATATTTTTACTTACAGGAGATGCTCATTACTGTGCACTTAGGAGCTTATCATGTGCTGCATAATTAGAGCAAAGCTGGTATTTCAGTTACCTTCCCTGCAATTTGATAAGCTTTTTGGTGGGGTTTTTTTGCCAGTAATCAAACACAATGACAATACACTGTAAAGGATAAAACAAATAAAGACATAACTTACTTGTATTTGACAGTTTTTACAGTCTCAGTTGAAACGCTTTTAGCAATGCACTTCGCTGCACTTTCTAAACCTTGCCACACTGTTGAAAATCCTGTAAAAATGACCAGCTTATTTGAGTCCATAGCATTGAAAAGTATGCAATTAAAAAAGCATAAGGAATTTTTATTACCTTGAACTCCACTTGCTGCTACCACCAGAGCACCATCCAGAGTGGATCTGCCATCCTTATCTTTCTTGAGAGACTCTGGAACTAATTTGCTGCCATGCTTCTTCACGTGTGGAGCCAGCTCCTTCCCAACACAGCTTGCTATAGAACAGACTCCCTCCACTACCATAAAATAATAGTATGCATATTATTTAGTACAGACATAGAACATTTTCCTTTAAAGGTCCTTACACCTAATTAGAAGGAAGCACGCTCAAGTCTTGAGTGTTGCTTCTATTTAATATGCTTATTTCAATGACAGGCTTCAACCCATGCTTAAGTACCCAACTGATACAGAAGCAACCTTCTTTTTCAGATTCTCTTATTTTCAGATTTTAGATTCAGCTCCAATTCTTAAGAAACAAGTATGGCTAAAAAGCATTTCAAGGGCACATTGGTCTCACACTCAAATTTCAAGAAACTATTGTTTTGTTATCCCCAACTCGCAGATAGAGAGCATGCTGTTTCTTTCCTGCCCTGACTTCTGGAGAAGCCTTTCTTAGAATCACTCCAGCTCTTCAAAGCAGTTTTATAACATACGTCACAATTTGCTTTGAAACTTTAAGACTGTACAGACTATTCTTTTAGGAAAGAAAAGGATGTCTCAAGGCCACATAATAAATATTAGTCCTAAAACATGTCACTTGCAGGAGACAAGAAGGCAAAAACTACCAATTTTCGGATTTCATTGGGTCAGTCCCTCCTCTAGTTTATTGGCTAGAGAAACCAGATCTCATTTTACAGACTATTTAAGACAAAAAATGTAATACATTATGAGATGAAAATGTTTACCTAAGAATTGGCTGACTTTCACAGCTCCTCCAGTAGCCTGTTTTGCTACATGAAGCCCCTTTGCTACAGTTGGGTTGACTTCCAGAGGTTTTTCTTCTGGTTGGATGTGTTCTCGCAGTTTAGAAGCTCCTTTGTGTATAGCTTTACCAGTATATTCTGCTCCTTTTATTAGGCCCCAGCTTACCCAAGATGCACCTTCAAGGCAAAAATTTATTTTCTTACAAGGTACAACTTTACAGACTACAATTTCTACAGCTTTCCCTCCTCTGCCTCTGCAACACATTGCCGAAACACAGCCTGCAATTATAATCTTCCTGAATGGGACAGCATGAATTCCTGCAGCAATTTTCTGCTCCTACAAGGCCCACTTTTTTCAGTTCACTTTATTTAATACAACCACCCCTCTTCCAAACCTCGGCTTAATACAGATACTCAGTTTTTGATAGATATCCAAGCCAAGCTGGGTCAGAAGTGATAGAACTGCATATCTTGCTGCTGTGACATTCTGAAAACACACAACCCAACCCTCTAGCCCTCCTAGCAGATTCATATTTATTACAATCAGTGGATGGTCATTAGTATATTCCAGAGCTTCTCAGAGGGGGGAAAAAAAAAAAAAGCTTATCTGCAGATATATGCCTGGTTTAATATACTGCTTACACAGGAGTAAAACTGTTCTGTCACAGTGGTTTGAGTCACAGAGGGTGATATTCTAACATTTAGTCAAATGAGAAGCCTACCTCCTGTAATGAGCAAGACTGTTGGCAATGGATATAAATTCTGCACTAGTTTTATAAAGCTCAACATATCCTTTAGATGAACACAAATGGAATTGATGAACAACTATTTCTGACCACTCAGCTTCTACCAGCCCACATGGATTTAGATGAAAATACTGTTAAAATGTTACTCACAGCAGCTTATACTCAACACAATCCCCTTATTACAACAGTACCTGACAAGATTCCATGGGCAACTTTCTCACTCCATTCTGGCAACTCTTTTCGATTTTCTGCTCCTTCAGGTTGTGGTTCAATCCGTACAGTCTGAGACAAGTTAATTGCATCACTAGAGCCGTCTGAAGGCTAAAAAGGGAAAGTAAACACCTGAGAACCTACTTCACAACATTATCATCAGGATTTCTGTTTTAGATCATACAAATCCATTATGAAATAATGTTAATGTTGTGTATTCCTTGGGTAAGTGCCCAGAAACTCAAGGGAAATTTGTGATTCAGTTACTTTTGCACAGATAAGCTGTGCATTCAAAAAAGCTTATCAGAAAGCTCAGCATTTTCTCTCTGTTTTCTTCATCCAGTAACAATGAAAAGATTTGCTTGCCAACACTGCCAAAAGATGAGACTTGTCCATTTATCAGTTTTATCTTCTCAGAGGGAAGTCAACTCTTTTGTTATTCAATATGGGAACTTCAGTCTTTGGTCAGAGAATCCAGCTGCACTAAAAGAATGCAGCTGTTCTGGTTGTTTTGCTCCTCTTCCTTCCCTCCCAAATTCAAAAATAAAGGAGATTATTCATCCTGTGTGCTGTTGATACTTTTGCAGACTGGCACAGCCAAGGAACACATCAAGCTGTGCATGACACTGCTCCAAATTTAAAGTTGGGTGGATGAGTTCTGTGTAGTTTCATGTCAAACACTGGAGTTTCAGGAGTAGGTCTTAATAATTCAAACATACAAACCACCACCACAGCCTGGTTAGTGTTTCTAAAAAGTGTAACATCACTTTAGACAGTTCACAAAGAATGTATAATTAAGCTTTAATTACAGAAAGCAAAAAAAAAAAAAAAGTTGTAATAATTTAGGTTTTTGTTAAGATTCTATTTTAGGATTATTCTAATGTAAAAGTAAAAATTTCAACAATTGAAACACTGCTGGTTAATGATGCATAGAAAGAAAAACCATTTTTGTTTAGTCTAGAGGAGTCTATATTCTTAGATGGAAACTATAAGCAGAATAGAATACACAATATAGAATAAATAGTATTTGATATCACATGGAATTCTTAGATTTCTCAGAAATATTTACTGGAACTAAAATCAGGGTATCACACAAAGATGATTGTTGCAGTAAAACAAAACAAAACCAACATTAACAGAAAAGAGTAGATTAAGACTTAGAAGGTTGCTGCCCAGAAGGTTAACAATCTATCACTGATATGTACTATATCATCAGTTACTGATTGACAGCAGTGTGAAATCTCATGTTCAAGAAATGTCTTTAGCATGTGACCAAAACACTTTAGGGGCTGGGCAGGAGAAAAAGCAACAACAACAACAACAAAAAAAAAAGACAACCAAAATTAAGTTCCAGGTATGATTTAGCTACACCATAGCCTGGTGCAGAAAAGCAGTTAACAAGACTTCTAAGGACTATCCTAAGGAGCAGAAATAGATTCTCTGGCAAGACAGGTGATTCAGGACTATAATTACATTAAATATAGTTGTTAATTAGACCTTCATGAGTACTGTATAAAACAGACATATTAAATGGCCATCACACCAGGCTTTGAAATATTTGTGCTATATCACAGGTTTTAAGATTCCAGAAATCTGATCTGCAAAATGTGGTAGCCTGCAGTAACTGAATAATCAGCTCTTAACAAAAAAACAAACTAACAAAAAAAACCCCCAACAAACCAACTAAAAAACCTCAAGCCCTACAGGTCACAGCATGCATTGCAGCTGTCAATCAAATCTGAAAGCTCAATAATTCTAACATGTAAAAAGAAGCCATGGTTTTTGTTCAGTGACAATTTTACTAATAAAATTTGGAATCGCTGTCCTGGAATTTACCTGGACTTTGTGGCCAGACATCTGTTTAAATTTATCTTCAAAATGCACTCTCTCAGTTGCTGGGAGCTCTGAAGATAACCCTACTCTCTCATGGGATCCTGGCACCTGTGACATTGGATCAGGGAACATTAACAAAAACATGGAATTTTAGGACAACAAGGAACTAAGGAGGTATTAAATTTGAACTACTTCTAAGCAGGAAAACCAGCAGATTTTATCCATTAATTCCTGCACTGAAACATCACATTATTCTGTAGTACTTTTCCATTTCAACTAAAAATTAGGGGCCTCTTGCTAAAATTCCCTGCATTATACCATAGCAGAACTCTGCCCACATGGCATGCTGCAAGCTGGTCCTGCATCATCACTGCATTCAAGTCTTGGTGATTCAACAAGATTCTATCTTTCATGAGAAGATACAAACTTGTCATGAGCTTTTAAGTAGTCACTGATTACCACTCTTCCTGAAATGGTGCTCCAGTGCTCTTACAGTAACATATTTCACTAGCTTCTGGTCACTTCATCTTACTCCATATTTAAGACTATGGGTTTTTTTTCTATTTTCTCTATCAGTCAGTATTTAACTGCAATAAGGCACTAGATTTATCTGTTCTGAGATCCCATTTGAAGGCAGGTTTTTGAGGTACACACTATTTTCACAGATTGTCTCTGAAGCAGCTTAGCATTTTTGAACTGTAAACATTTGGTCACAATATTCCAAGAATAGTATCATCAAAACTACACAGACTGTGTGCACGCACAGAGGAAATACCATGTTTTCTCCTGAATGCAAAATTCCATTTGGGTTCTATGTTACCTATTGGAAAAATAGAGAAAATATAAAAAATGGTCTCCGATCCCTCTCTGGGCTTACAATTTAGTATTAAAAACTTTCTGTCTTCCCATCTCACAGGGCCTACAGTTTCATTACTATGTTGCTTAATCTTGGCTACTTTATCTATTTCTCACTGGTGATCTTACCAAGAAAGACAGAGCTTTGCAGTTTTATATAACTAACTGTAAATGGGAGAATATATTGATCATTTACACCTCTCTTTATTGCCCTAAAATAGGCAGCCCAGAAACGTACCTGGATTCGAAGGTCAGACATCTGTTTTAAGAGATCCTCAAACAGCTCTCTGTCAGCTGCTGGAAGTTCTGAAGACACGACTAGTCCCACGTAGGACCCCGGTACCTGGGACATCGTGTCAGGGAACATGTAGACTCCAGTATTGCAGCAGAGAACAGGAGACTGGTTATCCATTAGAGGATACAACCAGTCACAGACCTAGAAAAAAGAAGTACATAAAGAAATTGAAGGATACTTTTAAAAAGAAAGACAGGTAGGACATACTGATAAGCACCATAAACTTGATCTTCCGTAAAGTTTAAACAGCCTTATGTCATCAAGAAAAAAAAAACACGACTGTGGAAATACCATTCTTGATTGGTTCTGATAGTCTAATGTAGAAGAAAATACTAATTTTCACAGGACTATAATTTGGGCTAGTAGCCTGTTACATGAGGTCTAGTCTCAAGGCCCAGGTATGGAAGCAGATAAAAAAGCACTGCCAAACAAGTCAGGATTAACAGGGCCTGTAACTTCCTGCAGATTCAGGACAGGTTTATATGATAGGACAAAAAGAACATATGGCTTTCGCTGGGCGACTGTTGAAGACTGCTAAGATGGGTGGAGGTGAACCAGCAGACCCCAAACCTGGAAGAAGTTTTTGTTTATTCCTCCAAGTTTCCCCTTCGCTGATGAGACTTCCAGCAGTCAGTCTTAGCAGCAACAAGGAGATCCAAAGTCAGAAACCAGACCAGAAACACAGCATATGTTACACAACATGCCTACATTAAGCAAGCATGGACTGAAAAAAGGCAAATAATGCATCTTCTTTATTTGTAGTTCAGAGTCTGGATTAATATAGCACTTAAATTCCTATTTATAAGTTGTCCTAACTGCAATACCTTCTCACTAGTTGAGACTGAAGTGGGTAGTGTACACCACCGTTTTACACTGACATGTTACAACAGGTGAATCAACATGTCTTCTTTAAATGAAGGGAAGTTAATTTTATGAAATGAGAAGACATATTAAGTAAACTCCTTTAGAAAACAGAATTCATCAGAATAGTCAGCACTTGCCAACCTTGAAAGACACAGAGACACTTCTAACAGAAAAAGTCATAAAAAATGCGTATTTGCAGAAAACCATTTTTCCAACATCCTTGATATTATCACACAGAGCAAGAACTTAAGATTACCTTTTAAAATTTTATAACAGCTCTTGAAATTTAATTAAAGGAGAAAATTATTTTCCTGTTACCTGAAGAAATGCAGATGGACGATTCTGGGCCGTCTCGCCATCTGTATCCAAGAACTTCACAATGCGTAGATATCCAGGATATGAAGGAGCACTAACCTGCCCATCAGGAGTCACAAAGAATATCTGTACTCCCTGGGAAATCAAGATCAGCTCATCTGCATCCACTCCGAGGTTTTCAAGGGGAGGTGGCTGAGTACACTTGCTATAGTAGTCCTCACTTACAGAAGAAAACTCCCCAGAGTCTGTGCCATAGGACACAGTAAAATGGCCATTGGTAGCTTGAGGAGTATAGGCAGGAGGTGCTTCATTTGGCAGGCAAAAAGGTTTTGCAGATGGACTCGTAGCTGGAATTTGCCCTGGGCTCACAGATGCAACACTTCCATCTGCTGCAGGTGGCTGACTTGGTACAAGCAGAGAATTAGGGGCAGGGGGTCTTTCTGGCTTTTCTTTGGAAGGAATGGATGGGTACAACCTGGGCACCCCAGCAGGGGCATCCATCATGGCAGGACTTGCTTGTACAGGTGTGGTGTTTTGTTCTAGAATGCCAAGTCGAGTGTGAACATTTTGAAGGGTCTCCCTCATCTTCTGTTGCATTTGTCTAGCAGACTCCCACTGGGACCCTAGGCATGCAGGACCCTGTGACGGAATGCTGATTCCTCGGAGCAAGTGGTCAAGTCCTTGCTTATAATAGGTTCTTGCCTCCTCCTTCTGACCCAGTTCATCTGTATTCAGTCCTTTATTGATAAAAATAAAGGCTTTCCTGTACTCTTCATTAATAGCTGTAATATTTGCATCTTCTTGCATAACAGGATCCTGCAGTTGTTCCATTATGGCAAACTGGAATAAAAAATATTAAAAATATTTATAGATAAAGCCAAACAATATTTACCTTAGAATAAAATACCTTCTAATTAGTTTCTAGTGATGATCATATTGCATGTATTAGCAGAAACCTACCTAGTTGCTTGGTACAGTGTCTGATATGTTATGGTTATCTCTTAATAACCTTCAGATTTAGAATACATGATTCCAAGACAGCAAGAAACTTATAACTATCACATCTAGTTACATCAGACTTGTATTTCTTAAAATTTAAACATCAGAAGAATATGGACATGGCCAAAATTAAATTTTCCATCTTAAAAAATATTAAGATCAGTAGCAAATACAGGACTAAAAAAAGTTTAAGAATTTACTTTCGATAGTATTTTAAAAAAATCTTTAAGGTTTTAAAAAAATCTTTAAGGTATTAAAAAATTCAGTTAACATTTTGTCTATTTTAAATAAAGGCTGAACTTACAAACTCAGTACATATTTATCTAATTAATTTATGGGAAAGCACTCAACAGATTTAAACAAATCTTGATAAACTTCTGCATACAGAACTGGGATGAAATACTTTTAACAATTAAAACTGTGATTTACAAAATAAAACCAGGGATTACTTATTTCCTTTACAGTGTTTATAAAGTGAGAAAGACAATTGGTGTTCTCCCTTCCTTGCTTTCCAGGTGGCAAAAACTTGGAAGCACCAATATATGCAGACTGCAGGTTCTAATAACGTATTCCTCAGAATGCCTTGTGTATTTCAATAACTGAAGAGCAGAAAAGAATCCAACAGGTTTATGCGTGTATGTTTTAACTGAACACGTCTTCCATCCTGGCCAAATGCAGTAAGTACAAATCATTCTTGGACAAAGACAGTGTTTACAACACACAATGTAAAAAATTCCAGTGAAAATTTTTTGCTAACAGTGTTGAGAGACATTGTCAATTCAGAAAAATCAAGTTATTATACTAGGAAAGAATAATGATTGTGGACAACAAAAATGGGGTACTATATAAAAATGAAAGAGCATGCATTTTGAATAAAAACAATGATTCTCTGCTGTAAGCTGGGTGGAAGAAAGGAGAAAAATCTAGATAAAATCACAATGACAGCAAGATACAAAAAACATGGGTTAAGTAAAATCAAAGTACAAAAATAAAAATATTTCCATTACACAGCATTGGTGAGATATCAGACAACACTGAGCTACATTCAAGAAAGCTGCACAAGAACACGAAGAGGTGTGCAGAAGTTACTGATGTTTTCTGGTGAATCAAGTACTTTTCCCTAGAGAGTGAAGTTTGTCTTACCAAGCCAGAGACTTAGAGACTGCATTATTTTCTATAAATATACTGGATAAAAAGAAGAAAGTAAATCAGGAAAGAAGAACTATTAAAATCCAAACTTCTAACAAATTCTGAAATAGCACCTACATTTATTTACTGCCTCTTCTTGTTTTAGTCTAACTACCAAAAAAGTAGAAATAAATATATATAATCTGGGACAAAATCCTTCCTCTACTCCAACAAAAGCAGAGAAGTTTAAGAAGTGCAGGTCATGAAAAGATTTTTAAAGAGGCAAAGATGGAATGCCATGTTCTAGTCCCACATCCTTTATGATCTAAGTGCAGGTAGCACTTATGTGACTGATGCATCTGCAGTCACATGACAGAAGTGCCACGTAGTCTGGAGCACATCTCCATTTTTATGATGCAATGGAATCCAATTTCATGCAAAAGACAAGATACATTAATTCAGACCAACAACAGACATGTAGCTCAGAATACAACAGGAATGGCTTGAGAAGTCTGCCCATGTGCAGTAGATCAGCAGTGACTCAAGCCACCAGGCTTGCTGCCCACTGCTCATTCTTCACATAGCAGGAAAAAGAAATTTTGGGCTGGAGGAGATTTTTCTGGTTGATTGCAGTCATTTCCTGCCAACAGACTCAGCATCTCTGATGTAAGCTGAAGAACAATGCTGCCAGCCATATGCTGCATCAAATGAAGCATAACCGGCACGTCGAGGGTGATCTTCCTCCTCTACTCCGCTCTTGTGAGACTCCCACCAGCAGTGCTGCATCCAGCTCTGGGATCCCCAACACAAGAGGGACATGGACCTGCTTGAGTAAGTCCAGATGAGGCCACAAAGCTGATCAAAGGACTGGAGCACCTCTCCTATGAAGACAGGCTGAGAGAGTTGGGCTTGTTCAGTCTGGAGAGCCCTTACAGCAGCCTTCCAGCAGCTAAAGGGAACCTACAAGAAATCTGGAGAGGGACTTTTTACAAGGACATGTAGGGATAGAACAAGAAGGAATGGTTTTAAACTGAAAGAGGGTAGGTTTAGCTTAAATATAAGGAAGAAATCCTTCATTATGAGGGCAGTGAGGAACTGGCACAGGTTGCCCTGAGAAGCTATGGCTGCCCCATCCCTGGCAGTGTTCAAGGCCAAGTTGGACAGGGCTTGGAGCAACCTGGTCTAGTGGAAGGGGTCCGTGCCCATGGCAGCAGGGTTGGAACTAGATGAGCTTTAAGGTCCGTTCTAACCCAAACCATTCTATGATTCTATGAATAAGTGCATGTTTAATATCCATCAAGGACATTAAGTTTAGAAGTTACAAGCATGCTTCTGACCATTCAAGATAATTGTTTGCACAAACAATTATCTTGAATGTAACTGGAAAGAACTCTAATAAGTTTGTGAATAGAGCTGGATCCTTACATGAAAGATTAAACTTAACCATGTCATATATCTTATGATTTACACATTAACCATTTGAGACACGCATAGTCAAATTTGCTAGCAAAAAACCCCCAAAAAATGCAACAAAACTACATCATCTCGTGTCAACACTCGTGTTTACTAATGAAAAATCCATTTTTCCTCTTGAGAAGGGTATAAAGGTGAAAAACAATTTAACAGTAAAGAACTCTGATTTAAAAATAATTGTAAGTTTCCAAAACACAGAAAATGTTTAGAAGACTGAGACAGACAAGTTTTAACTAACATCAGAGTGTACTTCTTCATGAGCAAAATCTAGTGTTCTGACATTTTTAGTACCTGTGAAAATCCCTTCTCAAGGTAAAGAATTAACATGGGAGAACACAACGGCAGTACCATAATCTACTTTGCCCCATGTTTTTGATTTGTTTCTGCTGAGAGGCTGAGGCAAGGATATTTTACAGGTTCCAAATAATTCTTTTGCTAGTGATTGTTAGTATACAACAAAAAGAGACATCAAGTAAAAGCGTCAAGTCATACCTCCATTTCAACTTGAGCCAATTAATTTACTATTCACTATACGCTTGTCACATTGTCACCACAACTCTTCTTGCTAAAGCTCAGTCTTTATTAACGCTAGAAAAAGTCTGTAGGAAAAAGGAGCCGTCAGCACTATCAGCATATACAAAGCAATAGTGCATGGCTGTGCATGGCAGAGATACAAAAGCTGACTCAGTAGTTCAGAAGAGTGGGAATGTTGCAACTCATCTCCAACTGTTTGAAACATCCCAAGTTTTTAGTATATGCACAGCATAGGTACCACCAAGACATGCCTTTGGGTAGAAAAGCACTTGGAAATGGAGGAAGGAATTCACAGTAGATTTTAAGTTTGACACAAGACAACTAAACGTCATCCTGAAGAGATGAATTTATTCTTACTAATTTATTAAAATTAATACAAAATAATGGATGGTATAAAGTAAATAAGCTAACTGGATTGCTCCCTCACAACACAAGAAGAAATATTCTCTGAAACAGAACGTTTAAGCAGCAATCTGATTGTGTACAAGGAAGATATTCAGTCATTATTATTTTCAGTATATGATCTTAATATAGTACTTAAGTGTTCTGTATATTTTAATATTTATCTGTAATCTATTTCTGTACAATGCAGTCTTATTTCCTCTGTTTTGAGACTGGAACAAAGGCAAAGTACTAAACACATGAGCACTGCGAACCAACCTTTGGTCCTATGGCCACATTGGCCCAGATCTGTACTACTCAGTGCTAAGTAAGACTTAGAGGAACTTGTCTTGGAGAAAGCTGGTTCAAAACAGAGCTAAGAAAAGAGCTAACAGGCACTGCAGATAATCACAGATCAATTCAGTAGCTGAGCTCATTCTGTGGCCCTTTTTTATTTATCGGTACAGATACACTCTGGGGCTTCCAGTGACATGACCAAGGCAGGCTACAATGCAACAAGGAAACCTGAGTTCCATTTGATATTGTAAACTAACATCTCAACTATCTGACTGATCATCCTGCATCTGAAGCTGCAAACCCTACTTCATTAAAAAATAATGTATATTTAAAAAAAAATACAGCTCAGTGGTGGATCTCAGTACCAGAAGGTAAATGTGAAGCCTAAAGCTTAAGAGGATTAAATATCCTGACTGCCAGAGGTCATTCTTTCCAACTATTTTTGAAACCTGGGGGGTGCAGGTGAGAAAAAAAGCAAAACAACAACAAAAAAACCCAACAAACCAACAACAACAACAAACCTCCACCAACACCTTAATCCAAGAGCTCTTTCTGTATGTCAGCTGCTTCTGTATCAGCCACTGATTTCAAAGATGAAGAGGATGAAGGAGACCTACCATGCAGACAGAACTGTTTAAGCCTTATTTCTATAGGGAAATAACAATTAAGAAAGTATTTGTAAGTTCCAAGAATTTAGAGAACAACCTGAATTAAAACAGATGTTATAAAGGATTGAAACTAATACAAGCCAGGTACTAGCCTGATAAATTTGGGGTTTTTATTTAAATTTGTTTAAAGTAACCCTTATATTTTTCATTACGTGATGGCCTACTGCGAGAGTTTAAGCAGGCAGGTAATATCAAAGACTGGATAACAGAAAAAGTCAGTGAACTGGTCTAACATGGCAATTCCTACTCTCAAAATTACTTAAAACTTCAGCAAACTCCCATCTTTTGACATTCCAGCCTACACCATCTTGTCAAGCCTATATCCCAGCACCTGCATTCACCCAGCCAGCA